CTGATCGAGCATTCAGAATCACTGATCGAGCATTCAGAATCACTGATTTGTGATAGAGTTAGGTGGTGCTGGTGTTTATTGTCCTAATGTCATCTCACTTTGAGCTCACTCGCTTATTTGACCCCACATGTTTCAGCTGTTTCTTGATGTTTCCAGCTGTGTTAGCTCCTGTGTTGGGACTTTTAAAAAATTGCAATATGTTGTGATTTGTTTTATGCTATGAAAAAAAAAAAAGAAATGTTAGAGTGTAGCTTTGTGGTGAGAAACTTTTTCTTTTTAAGTCTTTTTAGTCTGTTCTCGAGGCGACTTCTCTGCAATCAACAGTCAGTGATTGATGTCTTGGCATCTTGTAAATGTCATAATGTGGCCTTAAAAATAAGAAAAAAAGACTATATTTGCGTACATTCATATCTCAGAGTAAAAGAAAATACCTAAATATGCTTTGGCCAGCATTTCTGAATAAACATAATAATAATAATAATAATGATAATAACAATAATAATAATAATAATAATAATAATAATATAATAATAATAATAATAATAATAATAATAATAATAAAGCAACCTGTGAATAAGAGCAACCCAAAGCAGTTTTCTGATGCTACACGTGCCTGTTGCTGAATAAGAAATGTGTGTGTGTGTGTGTGTGTGTGTGAGTTTGCATTTCTAACCCAAGCTGTTTAAAGTGTCCACAGAATTGTTGTTATTGATGTGTGCAGATGAGAAAAGTAACAACATCAATAAAAAGACATTGAGGTGTTACTGTGAGACCTCTGGAATAACTTTGTAACATATCATAATAATCATAATCATCATAATTTCATAATAAACATATCCAGCGGTCTGTTCTCTCCAATACTTGACACTTTTGAGTTCACTCCCTTTGTGTCTGACTCTCCATCCCCACCAGTTCTCAACTCAGTCTGCTCACCAGCCTGCCCACTCTCCACCTCCTCACTTTATTTTCACAGTCTCATGAAATTAAAAAGAATAATTGTGAGAAACCTGATTTTCTATAGACTTTGAAACTCAATACTTGCCTTGAACAGCTATATAATTTGTGTTTTCCCTCCTATAGACTCTCTGAGTTTATCCTATTCTGAGCTGACAACAGTTACAATCATTGTAAGTTTTTGTTTTAAGGAAAACTAAATAATTTTTTAACTACCAACGGTCTCTGTTACCACGTTTAAGTCAAACAAACCATTAATTTCACCTTTGGTGTGCACACCGACAAAACAAAATGAATATTTAGCTTAAAAATTTAGCTTTGTGGGGAGTGGTGGTGCAGAGGTTAGAGAGGTGGGCTTGTGATCCGAAGATCGCCGGTTCACGCCCCGGCCCCGACAACATCAAAATTGTGGGTGGGGTAGGTGAAACACCCACACTTGCCCCCACCCTCATTCGCCCCACTCTGGGCCCATGAGCAAGGCCCTTAACCCCCACCATGTGCTCCCTAAACAGGTCTCTCTTGAAAATGAGTTCTCGTGGCTCAATGAGACTAACCTGGATGAATAAAGGCTAAATGAAAAAAAAAAAAAAATGTGACAGAGGATAAGAGTTGGACTAAAAAAGTGAAGTGTAACGTTTTTAGTGTTCACTTTAAAGTGCTTTGAAGGATTGAGGTTGTTTCAAGTAAAATCAACCCTTTATTGTCTAATATTAATAATACTTTGTAATAATATATAAAAAATATGACTGGACAGCAACACAGTTACAAATAAAAGGCCCAGACCTTCTTGAAGGGTTGCATAAGCTGTAAATAAATGAAAAAATTTTTTTAAATAATATGATGTTATAGCCTTTTTGAGTAAATCTTTAAAGTGACAATAAGAGATATGTTGTGCAATATTACAGTATCATGAACAGCTCTGAGAGTGTGCATTGCAAATGACTCTCAGCTACTGCCCCACCAAAATTTTGCTTCAGAGTTAAATGCTATTTCTCCAAACTGCAACAGGTCAGATAATTATTTTTCATTAAACCTTTTTTTTTCAGAACCACACTTCAAACGCTCCGAACTGTGCCTTTAATTTTGTTGGATTAGGAAATGAAGGCTGGAAAGGTGTTAATCAAGTCAAGGGATAATTTCAGTCAGATGCACATTGGTTGAGCCATGATATGTTTGGATTTTGTATTAGACATCATCATTTTTGGAACATCAAGTGTCACGATGTATGAAATAAGATTATTATTATTTTCATCATCATCATAATTATTGTTATTATTATTATCCAGTTGAGTATTTCTTCAGGTTGTTTCCAACAGTGTGCATGGTGTCATGTAGGGGTCTCAGCGCGCCCCCTGCAGGCTCTCCTCGGTATTACATCCAGCTGGAGAGACCTCCCACCTTCCTCACAGGCTGCAGCTCTGTCCTCCCCACAGTCCCTGTCCCTGTTTGGACTCCTGGCAGACGGTTCGGTGCCGGTGGCTCCGTTATGGCCGAGCCCCCCCGGAGCCTCTTCCCCCAGATGGCGGAGTGAGTGAGGATGCGCTTCCCCAGCTCCATCCTGGTGTCGGTGTCTCTGTTCACGGCTGAGACCACGGCTGCGCTGTACCTCAGCTCCACGTACCGCTCCGCCGGAGACCAGATCTGGCAGGGGCTCACGCTGCTCTTCACGCTCGTGCCGTCCGTGCTCGTGCAGCTCACCCTCACCTTCATCCACCGGGACCTGAGCCGAGACAGACCGCTCGTCCTGCTGCTGCACATCCTGCAGCTCGGCCCCGTCGTCAGGTGTGTGCTCAAACCAAACACTGGAGACACAGTCCTGCTCCGTCCAGCTGCATCATGCCTTATATTTGGAAAATAAAAAATAAAAATAAAAAAGCTTAAATGGGGTGTGGGGGGGTTCACTGCACGCGTGCTGCTGTTTGCATGCACTGTGGCCTTTCTGTGTGGTTGGTGTTTACATGCTGCTGGGGTGAATGTCTTTCAGATCGGAAGTAAATACTAATCAATACTCTTATCAATATGTTCCCTCTCACACTGCAGCACTTACATCAAATTGCCCCCATTGAAACTCTGATCTCAGACCAGTCAGGGTGTGATTATGTCACAACAAACCTTCAGTGGAGACAAGAGGCTCTGCAGCCTCCTGCTGCTCTCACACCCACACAGCCTCCAAACAGCAGGGGGTCAGGATGAGCTTTAACTGCTCATGGAGGAAGAATCTGTAGCTGAGCATCTCATGTTTGCTGCTTTTCTCCAAAATGTGGTAAAATTAAACAACTGGTTTGGTAAGTTGGAACAAGTTGGCCTTAGCCATGTTCAACAATGAGGGTATAGATTATATTGTACATCTGCCAACTTTATTTTTGACAAATATTGTGTTGACTCACAAAGTTTTCTGCTTTAAAACTAGCTGTCATAACTTGTTAACAAAAGAGTTAAATGAGGTCATCTGGAACCTGTCCAGATGACCTCATTTAACTTTTTTGTGATTTATTTACCTGGATGATTGAGCTTACGTCAGAATTTTTTAATTTCATTTTTTTTTTAAATGTTATATCAACTGCTGTGTTCCCCCAGGCTTTAACTAAGTCAGTACAGTACTATTAAGAAATGACTATTTCCCAGCAATAAAATATACAATCATATATTCATTTTAAGTGTATTTTTTAAAATAAAAATTATTCAACCTTTATTTATACAGGTTAATCCCACTGAGCTTCTGGGACTCATTTACAAGAGAGACCTGATTTTAACAAAGAGTGGTGACAACAGTGGACACAAATACAACATAAAAAACGTACAAATTGAGAAGAATAAATGAAAGAAAATGTTTTTTTTAAAATGAAACAAAAACAGCTAGATTATAAGGCGGTGTAGAAAACTAAAAACAGGAACATGTCTGCGTTGGTTTCTACCAGGAACTTAAAAGGATGTTTGAAGCCACTTAGAAAGGTCAAGGTCGAGAGCTTCAGATCTTTTAGTAAGATATTTCAGGAAACAGGAGCGGAGTAGGAGAAGGTCCTTTTGTTCAGTTCTCACTGAGGGAACACTGCAGGTAATAATGTCCTGAGAGTGCACGCTGTAGCTGCACTCACGCAGAGACATGTAGGAGGAGATGTATGAAGGCAGCAGACCAAGAAGAGATTTAAAGATGAAAATGTACCAGTGGGAGAGTCTGTGAAGTTAATAATGACCAGTTAACCAGTGAACACAGGGTGCAGTGGTGGGTACGATAATCACAGCCAGTTCTGAATCTTAGTGCACCGTGATAGACAGCATCCAACATCTGCAGGGTTCTTGTAGGAGCGTTCATGTAAATAATATCACCGTAATCAATAGAAGGAAGGAAAGTCTCAGTTACAAGTTGTTTCCTAACATTCAGAGTTAAACAGGATCTATTTCTGAAAAAGAAACTCAATTTAACTTTCAATTTCTTTACCAAGTTTTCCACGTGAAGCTTAAAAGAGAGATGCGAGTCGACCAAGATACCCAAATATTTGTAGGAATCAACAAACTCAATAGGGACACCATTTGAGGCTAAAATCAGAGGAAGAACTGCTGGGACCAACTTCCTGTTTAAAAAAAGCATCCCTTTGGTTTTGTCGACGTTTAGGACAAGTTTGAGACAAAACAAATCAGGCTGGATGACGTCAAAAGCAGATTGTAAAAGCTGCAAAGCCTTAGCAACAGTTTTAGCTCGACAAAGGAGGATCTGTGTTTTGAAAAAAGGAGGATCTGTGTTTTGAACCTGTACGCTCCACACTGGTTTGTCATCATATTCATTATCTGCATCGATTTTATGTCTATATTTTTGATTTACTTCATTTTGTATATTGCGTCGTGTGTGGTCTGTTGTTCTGTCTGTACAGCACTTTGGTTGGCCTTGTAGCTGTTTTAAGTGCTCTATAAATAAAATGGTATGGTATGGGTATGGACAATAAACAACTGTCTCATCAGCATATAAATGTATGGATGCATCAGGGATGCTCTGACTACATTACCTATGTAGATTTTTTTAAGAGGGTGGTTCCTAAGACTGAGCCTTGTGGGACACCACTGTTGACTGTTAAATAAATGGAAGAAGTACCATTATGTGGAACACATTGCCTCCTATCTGAGAGATAATTAGAGAACATACTTCTACCCACTCCCTTAAATATGTAAAACAAAAAGTTTTGACATTATGCTTCATGCTGTATTTTTTTTTACGTATTCAAAAAAATAATAAACTAAACTAACTAATGGTATGATCTGAGAATCAATGAGGAATGCTTCAACAACGTCATTAAGAACCTTCAGTGGTTGTGCTGTGTTGTTTCCTGAAACCAGATTGATGTGGAGGTAAGATGTTAAATGAGTCCAGGTAATTTTTGATTTGAGAGTTTATCAGTTTTTCTAGAACCTTGGCTAAAATACAGAGTTTAGAGATTGGTCGATAGTTGTTCAGTGAGGTGGGGTCTCCTCCCTTCAGCAAAGGAAGAACAAGCTGTTTTCCAAGTGTCTGGGATGGAGTTTTGTCTTATGGAGAGATTGAAGATGTGTGTCACAGGGACTGTGATGATATGAGCAGCCAGTCTTAAGAAATAAGGTGGAAGTTCATCTGGACCTGCAGATTTTTTAGGATCAAGATCTTTTAACAGTTTATTAACCTCACTGTCTGAGACTGGAGAAAAAGAGAAGCTGTGATTAACTGAGGGTTGACTTGTAGGAGGGATATGATTTGTAGAAGTTTGAATTAAAGGTGAAGTGTTGTTTGCAAGCAATGTTTGCAAAGTTAGCATAAAGATGGGATACTGTAAAAAAGTAAAAATGTTGTATTTGTGTGTCTCCAGACTAAATTATTTTCTGTCTCAAAGCTTCCAGTGTGTGTGTAAAACATTTGATGCACTTTGCTCTGATCGTCCTACTTTTGAGTTTAAGCCACGAGTTTTCAGCCTAACTTTCAATAATTTACATCTGCCAATTTCAAAGAAAAGAGCTACAAATTATTTATCAGCTGCACTTTGACCCATATTTTTTGTTCTTATTGTTGCCAAATAATTAAATGTCTTATATGTTGAAAAGAGTGTTCTACTCACAAAACTGGACTGTTTGTTGTGTCACTTTTGAATGACAGTGTTTTAGTTGTCAGCACAGCCGCACAGTAAATGGCTGCACGCTGAGGGACGTGTTGGATCTTCAGATGGACTAAACTTACGTCACACAGGCCTCGCAGTCAAGCTGATAATCAACCATAAACTGAGCTCTAAACCCCCGTCAGAACTTTGTGTAGAGCTCACCGAGATCACGCAGCGTAGGCCGGAGTTTTAGACACGTAGACAGACAATACTGTTATTTTCCTACAGCTACGTATCTCAGTGCACCAAGGCTGGAACACAAAAGTGTGACGGGGTGTTGCATTTGCACAGTCCCAGTCTGGTTGGTAGTTTGGTACAACTCAGAGGAACAAGCACCTGACCAATCAGAGCGGGCCGTGGTGGTCAGGTGACAGAGGCTTTAAAACAGAACTGACTCAGGCAGAAAGTGGCCAGAGGTGCTGCAGTACTGTGGAGAATGCAGATCCATCTGTCCACCATCCATCCATCTGTTCATCTGTCCACCATCCATCCATCTGTTCATCCATCCACCCACCCATCCATCCATCCATCTGTCCATTCATCCATCCATCCATCCGTCCGTCCATCCGTCTGTCCGTCAATCCATCCGTCCACCCACCCACCCACCCATCCATCCATCCATCCATACGTTTATTCGTCTGTTCATCCATCCATCCACCCACCCATCCATCCATCCATCCATACGTTTGTTCATCCGTTCATTCGTCCATCCATTCATCCATCTGTCCACCTGTCCATCTGTCTGTCTGCCCATCCATCCATCCGT